ACTAGATACCCTAATAATGATTATGGCCAAGTATGGTTAAATTTGTCTCAGTAGTTTCAGAGGGGAAGATTTTTGTAAAAGATTACAAAAATTTACAAAAAATTGTTAAAAATTGACTATTAAGGGCAATAACTCCTAAAGGGGTCGACTGACAATTTTGGTCATGACAACTTATTTGTAGATCTTACTTTGCTGAACATTATTGCTGTTTACAGTTTATCTCTATCTATAATAATATTCAAGATAATAACCAAAAACTGCAAAATTTCCTTAAAATTACCAATTCAGGGGCAGCAACCCAACAACAGGTTGTCAGATTTGTCTGAAAATTTCAGGGCAGATAGATCTTGACCTGATAATCAGTTTTACCCTATGTCAGATTTGCTCTAAATGCTTTGGTTTCAGAGATATAAGCCAAAATCTACATTTTACCCCTATGTTCTATTTTTAGCCATGGTGGCCATCTTGGTTCAGTGTTCCCGCCTGCCCTAAATAGAAAGGTGGCCCGCCCTTGGTGCCCTTACCCCCGCCCTTCTGCCCTCCAAAGTAAAAGAATGCACCCCTCTGCCTTTTCAAAAAAATAAAATTTCCAAATTTCATGCCTACCGACGTTTCCAGTAAAATTGTTACCTGATTGTGTAACACTAATTAACTGACAATGGGATTAAGTTAAATACCTAGTGCTTTGGCAGTTTTATCACCTTTGTTAATGATTGTTTACTGCTAATTAGTGGACTTAAGATAACTGAACAAATACTAGATATTTAATTACAGAATGAAATGTCCTTGTAATGTTTATGTACAGCATGTACACCTGAAAAAATTTATTTCAGTAGGCATTACATAAAAAAAAAATCTTAAATAATTTAAAAGGCATACATAGTTTTGACTTAATTGGTAAAAAATGTTTTGTTTCATAACCATGAGTATGAAATTTAAAGAGGAATCAAAGAAATTTGTACTTTGAACATAACAAGATTCACTTCCTGTTTTTAATACTTCTTGTATTTTATGATCCTCCTGACATTGGAGCACTCAACAAATTTATTTTTAACAATGATGGAGAAAAAAGTAACTGTTTATACCTTCTGCAATATATTATTGCATCAATATAAAATATGATCATCTCCTGTCTCACCTGTTATATTTATAAAACTCCTTACTGAGGAGCACTTTGGTGTGCACTTAAAAATACTTTTTTGTAACAATTCAAATGATAATATTAATAAATAACTCTCAATAACATATATACTATATGTTTGAACAAGTAATCTAAATGTAGATAACTTAATTACATTCAACATTCAATTTTGCATGTATAACTCCATATTTCAAAACTAATTGTTTATTTTGGTATCAGTTATAAAACATTGAAATTTCTGATGATTATTTTCCATACCAAATGTACAAGTTTGTTTAGACATCAAAATGATATGCTTTGCTTCATGGTATGATAATTTGATGAAAAAAAATTCTTACTGGAACCAACATCAAGAACACATTAATTTCTGAATATGGTTTAAATACAACTAATGTTCTCCAGCTGAGCCTAGCAATATTCAAGGTAATTTATACACTGTCCAACATTGCCCTTAAAATCTGGGTTATAACGCTAAAGTGCCCTTTCAGACAACAAGCACCCTTCTGCCCTGAGATTCAAGCTGGAACACTGTGGTTGGTTGGTGGGGTCATCGGACACATTTTTTAAACTAGATACCCTAATGATGATTGTGGCCAAGTTTGGTTAAATTTGGCCCAGTGATTTCAGAGGAGAAGATTTTTGTAAAAAGCTAACGAAGACGGACGACGACAAAAACGACGACGGACGCCAAGTGATGAGAAAAGCTCACTTGGCCCTTCAGGCCAGGTGAGCTAAAAAACAATAAATCATGATGTTGGGTTTTCTCATGTGAATTGTTTTACATTTTCTTATGTCTGTCTTTTATAGCTTGTGGTATGGGTTTTACACTAAATCCCATTTCAGATTCTGTGTACGGAATGATTATCTGAGGGTAGCCAAATAACATGTATAACAAAATCGCTCCAGACACAGAAGGGGAGGAGGATTTTCAAAAGAGCTGAGAATAAATAGTGGTTCCCCTTGAACTGACCTAATCACAAACTAATACATGTAAACTAAGCAAAAGTTTTAAAGTCAATAAACCATGACTGAGGGGGCGGAGCCAAATAATCTCCATGGAGATGAGATGTACCAGTGCTTATACAACTGCATACTAAATATCATTGACTTACCACTAGTGGTTCCCCATAAACTGACCTAATCACAAACTAATACATGTAAACTAAGCAAAAGATTAAAGTCAATAGACTATGACTGAGGGGGGCAGGGCCAAATATCATTGACCAACCACTAGTGGTTCACCTTAAACTAGATCTAATCACAAACTAATACATTGTTGACATATATAAAGTATGGTTATTTTCTGAAGAAGCAGATAGCCTTTTGAAATAGTAGTTTATTATTAAATTTCATAGCTAGCAACTTATATTAAACATAAAGGGAGATAGCAACTAAATTATAGTACATATATGTAAAAGACCCCTTCTGCAGATTTCGTTAGGAGTGGGCTCTTTGGGGCAGCTGCAGAGCAATATTTGTTAGGGACCCCCAAAATTTACTCTCTGGCAGTGACACTCAAAATTGTGGACGTTTAAGTTATATATGTCTACATTGACTAGAGGTGAAGAGGGAAGGTTGAGCGCTCATAAAACCTGTCTAACCGCGCCGCCTTTTTGCGTCTGTCCTAAGTCAGGAACCTCTAGCCTTTGTTTGTCTTGTATATTTTTTTAATTTTGGTTCAGCTATATGTTTCGGAGCATAGAATGGCGTCATTTCCTTGATTTAGTTACATTGTGTTCCGGGGCCTGCTCCAGGCTGCCTCTGGGTGTGGGATTTCTCGCCGTGTTGAAGACCCATTGGTGGCCCGAATCGGAGTCCGTTTGCCCCAAAACACGTTCACGCCCATTCACGTTCGCCCCTTTTCACTTTCGCACCCTTTTTATTGGTTTAGTGTTTAATAATTTTGTAATCGAGTTTTGGTAAGTGTATTGCTGTAAATATTTTTTTTGTTCATTGTTTCAAAATAAAGTGAGATTCTGACAACATTTGTTTGTGTTGAATAAATCTTAATCATGTTTTGGTTAGTGTATTTCTATATAAAAAAAATCATTGTTTCTAAATAAAGTGAGATTCTGACGTTTGTTTTTGTGTTGGATAAATCTTAATCATCTTTTGGTTAGTGTATTGCTATAAATTTATGTTTTCATTGTTTCAAAATAAAGTGAGATTCTCAAGTTGTTTTTTTTTTTTTGTGCTGAATAAATCTTAAATTATGTTTTGGTTAGTGTTGTGATATAATTTTTTTTTCTTCATTGTTTCAAAAAAAAGTGAGATCAAAGGGGCCAAGTTGTTAAAATCAATTATATTTCGTGTTTTTCTTTTGAAATCTTCAATGTTTTACTCATACCAAGCTAAATGCATGCAGTATTTACATCAAAGAAAGTTAAAACAACAATCATGATTTTCAAACACACAACAATAATACCAAATTTAGCTGTGTCTAAATACCAATTAGCAGTAATCATACATTTGTACATAATTAACATTTAATAATTAATCATCAAATTGAAAACACAAAACAATTTTTATTCAGGAAAATATATTTTTTTTGGTATATTCATATAAAATCAAAGTCCTGGATAGCACCTGTGGAAAGTTTGCAACGGTAGATGTGTATTATTTCAAATAGGTTGTAGATGTGTAGATTGTGCGGTTAACGTTTTTTTCTGACTTTTAAAAAAAATTACTTAATACAAAAAATAATTGTAACAGGATGCTGTTAGGAAGTCTCCCAAACAAAGCTCCCATAATGAGTCATTCCCATGGTCGCCTGACATTGGGCAAAGTCCAGTACAAATTGGTATGGTCAAGTAAAGTGATATGCATAAGTGACGCCTAGGGATTAACCCTGTATGTCATTCAAATCTTCTTGAAATCATGAACTGGAATATATATATATATATATATATATATGGTTTAGGCGTGGGGATCTCGACCGTTTACAAGTTTTCAAACAGGAAAGGGGTGGGAGTGACCCCAGGTGACTCGCCTTTTATTTCATTTGATTTGTTTTATTGTCCCGTACAAGAATATATATGGTTTCGGGTGGGGATCTCGACCGTTTACAAGTTTTCAAAAAGAAGGGGGTGGGGTGACCCCTGTGGACTTCCCCTATATTTCATTTGATTTGTTTAATTGTCCCATTCAAGAATATATATGGTTTAGGGGTTGGGATCTCGACCATTAACAAGTTCTCAAACAGGAGGGGGTGGGGAGTCTCCCCCAGAGACTTCCCCTCTATTTCATTTGATTTGTTTTATTGTCCCACACAAGAATATATATGGTTTCTGGGTGGGGATCTCGACCGTTTACAAGTTCTCAAACAGGAGGGGGTGGGGTGACCCAGAAGGACTCCCACTATATTTCATTTAATTTGTATTATTGTCCCATACATGAATATATATCGTTTAGGGGTGGGGATCTCGACCGTTTACAAGTTCTCAAACAGAAGGGGGTGGGGTGACCCCAGGGACTCAATCTATATTTTATTTGATTTGTTTTATTGTCCTGTGATCATTACTGAACACCGCGTGTGTCTATCACTTACTGTTTTCAAGTTATAGCCATTTGAAAATTAAAAAAAAAAATCCCATAGGGTTCTATAGTAAAACCCTTCCTTCTGTAGGCCCTCAAAATACCCCTAAATAGAACCAAAGAAGAAAAATAATAAGAACTGAGCAAAAACTTTGTTTGGGAGACTTAATAACAACAAGAGTGCACACGCTGAAATGTCTCGCCTTCTTTACTAATCATTGATATTATGTTGATAGTCCTAAATATAAAGCTTTATTACAACTGTCACATAAACTTAACATTAACCAAGTAACCTTAACATTGACAAATGAACCATGAAAATGAGGTCAAAGTCAGATGAACCATGCTAGGCAGGCATGTACAGCTAACAATTCTTCCATACAACAAATATAGTTGACCTATTGCTTATAGTTTAAGAAAAACAGACCAAAACACAAAAACTTAACACTGAGCAATGAACCTTGAAAATGAGGTCAAGGTCAAATAAAACCTGCTTGACTGCCAAATAGATCATAAAATATTTCCATACACCGAATATAGTTGAACTATTGCATATAGTATTAGAAAAAAAGACCAAAACTCAAAAAACTTAACTTTGACCACTGAACCATGAAAATGAGGTCAAGGTCAGATGACACCTGCCCGCTAGACATGTACACCTTACAATCATTCCATACACCAAATATAGTAGACCTATGGCATACAGTATAAGAAAAACAGACCAAAACACAAAAACTTAACTATAACCACTGAACCATGAAAATGAGGTCAAGGTCAGATGACACCTGCCAGTTGGACATGTACACCTTACAGTCCTTCCATACACCAAATATACTAGACCTATTGCTTATAGTATCTGAGATATGGACTTGACCACCAAAACCTAACCTTGTTCACTGATCCATGAAATGAGGTCAAGGTCAAGTGAAAACTGTCTGACCGGCATGAGGACCTTGCAAGGTACGCACATACCAAATATAGTTGAACTATTGCATATAGTATTAGAAAAAAAGACCAAAACTCAAAAACTTAACTTTGACCACTGAACCTTGAAAATGAGGTCAAGGTCAGATGACCCCTGCCCGCTAGACATGAACACCTTACAATCATTCCATACACCAAATATAGTAGACCTATGGCATACAGTATAAGAAAAACAGACCAAAACACAAAAACTTAACTATAACCACTGAACCATGAAAATGAGGTCAAGGTCAGATGACACCTGCCAGTTGGACATGTACACCTTACAGTCCTTCCATACACCGAATATACTAGACCTATTGCTTATAGTATCTGAGATATGGACTTGACCACCAAAACTTAACCTTGTTCACTGATCCATGAAATGAGGTCGAGGTCAAGTGAAAACTGTCTGACGGGCATGAGGACCTTGCAAGGTACGCACATACCAAATATAGTTATCCTATTACTTATAATAAGAGAGAGAATCTAACATTACAAAAAATCTTAATTTTTTTTTCAAGTAGTCACTGAACCATGAAAATGAGGTCAAGGACATTGGACATGTGACTGACGGAAACTTCGTAACATGAGGCATCCATATACAAAGTATGAAGCATCCAGACCTTCCACCTTCTAAAATATAAAGCTTTTAAGAAGTTAGCTAACGCCGCCGCCGGATCACTATCCCTATGTCGAGCTTTCTGCGACAAAAGTCGCAGGCTCGACAAAAAGTATATATACAAATTTTGTTATAGTCCGATTTTGTGAGGCCGATTATGTAATAGGCCGAGGTTGTTATAGTCCGCGTGTGTTGTGGGCTGAGATGAGATACCAGGATACTTTCGATACACTCGTGCTTTTACGTCTTTTATAAACATTTGTAAAAATCGTAGTAAAAATAGCATCACAAAACGTGCATTCATGAAATATTTTAAACAGGATATTTCTCTTCAACTGGAGGGCGGGAGGAAACCCCTGAAACTGGGATTATTGTACTCCCGTCGGGAAGCACACATATATGGATCTCACGCATGTCTGGGGAATACCGATAAAAGCATAACGTAGAAACTGGTAGATGTGTATTGATTTTATTTTCTGCGCAGCCCAGATCCGCGAAGTAGTGTTTGTGATAGCCATTTTCAAAATGAAGTTGAGTTCATTTGAATTATCGATGAACATTCAGTCCATTTTTATTCAAGCTGTAAGCTAATCATAATAGTAGTAACTCAAAATTTCAAAAGCATCTTCCTAGAATTAGTATTAAAACACTAGTACTACATTAGAACGTGTGGGGTGCGAATGCAGGGGTTAAAAAATCCACTAGCGTCTGTACATGTTTTAAAAATAATACAACTAACTCTTGGTGGACCAGTATCGTGTATTGATCACAATTCTCGTACTTTCAATATTGATTTCTCAGTACAGAAGGTATAGTACATTGCTTATTCCGAGATTTTCAATTAATGGTACTGGGGGCATTGATCGATATTGACCTGTCTTGTCGGACAGCTGTTGAGCACGAAACAATGCAACAAAATATTTCTAAATATTTCAGTACGGGCACCCCAGGAACTTTGTCAGTTTCAAAACGAAAAAACGGTAGATGAAGAGGGTAAAGAGGCTGAAAATTCATACCCCAAAAAATGCCAAATACGCCCTGGAAAAGCAGAAAAGAACATTTAAAGTGTCATGGACAGAAAGATTCCCTTGGTCAAGGTCGTCTGTTGCTGATGATAAACCAGAGACAATGTTTTGTAAATATTGCCGTTATTTTTCCGATCACGCTAATAAAGTCTGCTTTGTATGTGGGAACAACAAATATATCTGAATTGAACCACTGGTTTCACATGACAGTACCAATGAACATGTTTTCTGTGGCCGAAAATATTGAACAACCCATAGTACAACAGAAATCCAAAGAGAGGTCTAAAGATCCTTGTCATAATTAATAAAACAAACATATATTTGATTTATTTTATTAAATACCATGTATAATGCCGCTTTCAAAACAAGGGACACCCACTTTATATTATGCAGCAAACTCTAAATTTGTAAGGTATACTCGGGCTAGCAGGTAGTTTTGATGGGATAGCAGCTCTTTCAACAGGGCTAGTAAAATCCTGCTACCAATAAGTCCTGGGCTAGTCAGCTGTAACAAAGTTTTTTAACCCCTGGAACGTGTAGGGTGCGAAAGTGTATTGGGCGCTAACGGACCTGATACCTGGTGGCCTTGGGTTGACTTGTATATTTTGGTTGGGTTGTTGTCTCTTTGACACATTCCCCGTTTCCATTCTTTATTCTATACATGTAGCTGTCAAATATACTTTTGTAAAAGAGACAAAAGACCAAGTTTTGGAATATGTAACTTCTCTCTGAAAAAACGGGTTAATCATACAAAAATGTACAATACCCAGCTGATATCTGAAACTACAACATTTGTATCACGGCTGCATGTAGGTGAAAAAGTAAACTCGTGACAGACAAGGCTTCCATGCTCAAACCGTAAAAAACACACGCCATAACATTCCTTAAAACTGTTCCTTTATTTTTTGTAACAGCGGTATAATAGCTTATTGTAGAATAACATCTTTCCAAATTAAAAAAAAGCTCCATATTATGATCTATGCCAGGAAGTTACCATAATGCCATAAAAAGACATCTATAGCAGCTGCTTATTTTTGCGTTATAGTATTCAGATATAAAATTGAGAATGGAAATGGGGAATGTGTCAAAGAGACAACAACCTGACCATAGAGCAGACAACAGCTGAAGGCCACCAATGGGTCTTCAATGCAGCGAGAAACTCCCGCACCCGGGGGCGTCCTTCAGCTGGCCCCTAAACAAATATGTATACTAGTTCAGTGATAATGGACGTCATGCTAAACTCCAAATTATACACAGGAAACTAAAATCAAAAATGATACAAGACTAACAAAGGCCAGAGGCTCCCGACTTGGGACAGGCGCAAAAATGCGACGGGGTTAAACATGTTTTTTGAGATCTCAACCCTCCCCCTATACCTCTAGCCAATGTAGAAAAAACAAACGCACAACAGCACGCACAGTAAAAATTTTGTCTACATGATTAATTTTCTTATGCTTGATATGTTCAGTACAGTATACATTTTGTCTTATACATGTATCTACAGTATATCCTGTTTTATTTTAGAAAATGAACAATGTCGCTCTCATGAAAGAAATTTAAGCGTGCGTGACTTTGCAGCATATAGACTCTTATAAATAAGTATCACATAACTCTTTCAAATCCTGCAATCAAAATACCAGGACCCTTCCTCATGCAGTGTATAACTAAGTTCGGGTACATGTATGCTTTGATTATTAAATGCAAAGTAAACCGGAAAATTCTGTTTAAAAAATCAGACGACAAGAACATTTATATACAATTAAACTCCGTTTGGTGAACCAACGCCTGTGTGAATCATTTCGATAGAATCCCTGAAGTGGATACCTTGGTATGCAGGGTTGTCAAATTATGCAAATGAATGCACCATTTAAATAATACTCAAAATTGACAACAACACTTCAAATGGTCTGCAATTTTATTAGCTATGGTCCACCAGCTTATACATGGACCAAGGATTATTCCATATGTGCGACAAAACAACAACTAAACCAAGATTACCAAGATTTCCGATACCACCTTACATACATGTACATCTAGGCCAAAATTAAAATTAAGTTTGTTTCCCCTTACCCGACCGACCCTCTAAAAATTCGCCGACTGAAATAATTTTTTTCGAAAATCACGTTGTTGCTTTTTTTTTTTTTGTTTCGCTCAAAAGTTCGTTTTTTAATTTCGTTTCCTTGAATGGTCCGTAATTTCAACATTCCGCGAAATCATTGTCGCCCGTGTGTTTGCAGCAATGGGTAAACAACGTATGCAAGGATACTGAAATTGGAATGGAATGTTTTAAATAAATGCATCCGAGCAATTATAACTACTCTTCCATTCTAGCTACGCCTCCAATAACAAAATGCGTAGCGAGAATGGCCGAGTAGTTACGATTGCGCATCTGAGCTCACCCTTGAGCTTAAATGTTAGGCCCGGTGTTTCTGCCGTGTTTGTGGTAAATCCCTGAGTTCGCCTTCATCAGTGGTCGACTCAATAAGTTGTATATTGGCGTGCTATTTATGCTATTTTGTTTCATTTCGTAAGTGATATTGGACCATACACCAGTTGTCTTTGGATAAAATAGTAGTTGATTTTTTTCGAGCTCAGTATCATATTGTGTTGTGAAAAGTCGAGATGACTATACCAGCTAATGTTTTGATAAAAGTTCTTGTAAGTTCTTATGTCTTTTATAAGCTATAATGGGCTGATGATTAAATATGGTCACACATTCAGGGTTTTGTGAAATAAGATGCCAGTGTTTCATTATTATATTTTTAGTTTCTGTATAGATGGGTTGAATTTTGTTAACATTACTAGCGGCTGCTCCACTTTCGCTGGGCGATGTGTTAGCAAGTTTTCCCTTTCTGTATTTTGTGTTTGATAAAAAAAATAGTTGATTTCAGATATTTGATATCCTCTTTTGAGCGTTTTTTTAAGATCAGTTTTGCTGATTGTGTTTCTGAGATACCTCAATACTTCACCCTTGATAAATCCTTTCAATGAAAACACTTTTTGGGTGTGAGCTGTGTCTGTGCAGATATTGATATGTTTCAGTTGGTTTGATATTGGTTTTAATGTCTTGTATCATACTATGCCTTCGATAAAGAATCTTTCTCCTTTGTATAATTATGACAGTGTCTAAGAATATTGTTTCATTACAGGAAAATTTGTAGGTGGACTTCAACTATCATTATCATTTTGTTTCTCTGTGTTGAAAGCATTGTAAAATGTGTTCAAGAATTAACAAACATTGTAAGGTCTGCTAACGTTTAACTCAGTGAATGCTGATCTGCACAAAGGCATGCCCAAGGTTTCAAATGTAAAGTTTATTGTTAAAAATAAATTCATAGTTTTCTAGAAGAAGCCTGAATAGGCGTAGTCATACTCGCTTGGATCACGGTTTGTGGCTTCTAGTATTTCCTTAAATGAAAAACAAGTGTACATATTTTTTGCATCGAATGTTACTAGGTAGCAGTTTCGTTGGGGTTTTATATTTTCAATTGAATTAATAAAACTATAAGAAAAATATAGAACCGTGTCTCAATTTATATGTGGTCTACTCTTAAGTCACAAAGACATTGATATTTACAAACATTTTCTAGTCTGAAATTGTAAGGTATTCTAGTCATGCATAATACATTATACAGTATGTTGTTTTAGTATCAATAAAGTTCAATTTGTTGTTTTTCTGTGTTTTCCTGTGTGTTAGATATATTTCAGGGATTTTCTCTAAAAAAAAAAAAAAAAAGCCTACCTACCTACCCACTTCCAAAATGGTGGGTAGGGTAAGGGGAAACAAAGATATTTTTAATTGCGGCCCTATGA